CAATCTTTTAATCCGCACATTCTCAAGGAAAAGTAAACCATCCACCACCACAAACTCGTCAGATGTTCCTTTATCCTTATCATCTAGTTTGCGGATGATGTCCATCATGATGGGGTCTTCCTTGTAGGCTTCCACCAAAGATCGAGTTACATCATCAGATATGCCAAACTTCGTACTCAACGCTCCTTGGTAGTCTGCCCTACGTGATAGCGCATCAACAACCTTGCTATATTCTCATTTCACGTAATCTAGCTTGAAGTCATATTGATCTATGACTTCAATCCAGCGTTTGAGTGCGTTGGAGAGAACAGGTGTCTTGATCCACTTGAGTATCTGATGGCCAATTCTCAAATAGAAGAACCTTCCCAACAGATAGTGTATCCAGTGGACAAGTGCCTTATAAAGGTCGTAGAGTTCCCGTTCACAGGTTGACTTCCCCAACTTTTTAGCTGGCATCTTTTTACTCGTGTACTCGATTGACCTTAACTTATTCCCTTCTAGTTGAGCCAGCACTGCGCCAATGCCATATTGGCTTGCGTCATTGGTCACAACAAATGGTCTCTCCGAATCTCATGGTGCATGAGATCATTATGCTTCAATGCTTGAAAGCAGCTTCACACTCGTCGGTTCATTCCCATGGTGTGTCAAGGCACGTTAGATTAGTCAAAGGGGAGGCCACAATGCTATAGTTCTTTACAAAATTGCGGTATTAGCCGGTCATCCCTATGAAAGATCTGACCTCAGTCACAGACTGAGGTCATGGCCAGTCACGAATGCTGCAACCTTGGCATCTTCATGCCTTATCCCATCTGCGGATATCTCATGACCCCAGTACAAGATTTTAGTGCGACCAAACTCGCATTCCTCTAAGTTAATTTTGTACTTGTGTTGTAATAGGAGTGAAAATACGGTTTTTGCATGTTGGGCATGCTCCTCGACTGTTAGTGCAACCAAAATCGCATTTCTCTAAGTTAATCTTATACTTGTGTCGTCGTAGAAGTGAAAATACGGTTTCTATATGTTGGGCATGCTCCTCGACTATTCTACTAAAGATAAGTATGTCGTCGAGGTACACGGCAATGAACTTATCTAAGTAGTCATGAAAAATCCTATTCATTGCGGGCTCGGATGTACCTGGCGCATTGCAAAGGTCAAAGGGCATCACCACAAACTCGTACAAACCGTACCTGGTTTGAAATGTGGTTGTACGCTGGTCCTCTGGTCTAATGGCATCTGATGGTAGCCGAATTTTAAGTCTATCTTGGTAAAGTACTTACATCCCTGCACCCTATCCAGAGGCTCTGCTTTCTTAACAATGATGGCATTGAGGCCCTTGTAATCAATGCACATCCTTAGTGTCCCCCTCTTCTTCGAGACAAATAAGACTGGTGAGCCAAAGGGGGAGGTGCTAGACCGTATCCAACCCTTTTCTGTGAGCTCTTTCAGTTGTTGCCGAAGTTCGTCTAACTCGGTCAGTGCCATCCTATAGATTCTTCCTTTGGGTATCTTGCTCCTTGGAACTATCTCTATGGCATGGACAACCTCCCTATCTACGACCCCTGAAGGCTCCTCAAACAGATCAGGGTATCTTGCGACGACACTTTCTATCTCTGGGGGTGTTTTAACGACCTCCCCTTTTTCAGAGACAAAAACTAAGTACATACCCTCCTCTTAGTTCTGTTTATAGTAATTATAGTATGCTGATGCACACATACAACCGTGTCTATCAGACTGGTAGCCTTATACTTTGCGAGTCTGACTGTCCTCCCTTCTATTAGTACATGCTTAAGCACCTTTCGGTACCAGTCAAACTGGGGCTTTGCAACCTCGAGCTAGTACACACCTAACAACATGTCAAATGGTAAGTCGTCGCTAACTAGGAAGGAAATCTTATGATTGAGTTCCCCACCTCCATAATGGAAGGTGCAGACTACGTCGTTAACATAGTCATCAATAACCATGCGCTCTTTGTTGGCTAGGGTAGATGCTACATATCTACCCAAGCGCTGCCCCCGGTCCCCTAGGCGCAATCTCTCAACGCAGTCGCGACTTATGAAGTTCCGCGTGGAGTCGATGTCTACAAAGGCACTACGCTTGCGGCCACCTACACCGACTTCCACAACGAAGTGCTCCCCTCTAGGACCTCTATTTAGTGCCACCCCCCCAAGACTCACGAGGGTTCCTTGCCGACCACTCATTTTGTAAGCCCTCTAAGGTCTTAGACACATCCAACGAACCAACGAACAGAGTATCGTTGGGTAAGGATGCGTCTGCGGGGTGACTAAAGAGTCGCTAGCTTCGGCCAACTCTTGAAGTGAGGAGGGTACATAGTCCACTTCATCAGGAGTAGAAGCAGCTACAACTTCTACTAGCCCGATGTGTTTCCCGAATTGTCGCTCGTAGAAGCCCCACTATGGGAAGAAGAATTCATAAAACCACCTTTGGGAGGTATCTTTTGCGATACCTTCGCGTTCTTGCATCTGAACTGCTGATGGACGTACTCGCTGCAATTAATGCAAGTTCCTCGCGAATAGCGGTCTTGCCACACATCTTGATTCTTTAGTCAACAAAAGATTCATCCACTCGCGCCGGCATACTTCCGCTAAGTCGGAATAATCATAGATCTAAATTTGATTTCCTTCGGAATCAACCATCATCAATCGATTACCTTTCCGCTTCCACTCCTGTGGACTTCTTCTTTCTTCCATCCGTAGAGGGTTGTTGGGCTCCTCCTAGCCTAGCCTCTAAGTCTAGGGCCGTCTTGCTGAAGGATTCCAGAGCATGATATTCGATGCTGACCTCGCTGACCAACAAGTTCTTGAGGTATGTGGGAAGACATTTCAAGAACATGGTCATCAAGACCTGTGGATCATAGCGCACGCCGGGAACGACAATGAGACGCTCCATGACAGAGGTAAGCTCACGCGCGGACTTTTACTTCTTAATCAAGCCGGGTCAACGCGTCAGTGCCCTGCTGGGCCTGCTGAGGGTTGTGCCATCGCCTTTACTAACTCCATAGAGCTCTCTAAAGTATGGGTCTTAGCCCAATCGTTCATACGCTTGCCGAACCCTTTCGAGGCTACTAATCCATCTAACCATTGTGTTGCTGATCCCTCAAGATACGAGGCGACAATGATCATCTCTTCCTCTAACAACGTCCTCTTTGCCCTTACCTACACTGGCACCGTTCTCAACCAAGTGTCGAGATCCTCATCCTTATCATCGGAGAAGGTTGAGGGTGGTTTCAAAGGAGTCTTGGGGTACCAAGGCTGTTGTTGTCCCTTTGGTTGTTCCGACTGTTGTGTAGCACCAACCGCTGGACCTGAAGATGAAGAAGAAACAGTTTGTGATGCTGCTGCTGATGTACCGCTTGTTGTGTTGCTAAACTGAGACGTAGTGGGATCTAACATCACCCGTGAGGAAATCGGTGATGGACAAACTGGTGGTCGGAAACCGGACCCGCATGTTGGAGATGTAAAAACCCTTTCCATCCCCTGCATGGCACTCAATATCTGGTCAAGGGTATCCTGGATGGCATCCAGTTTGCTGTACATGTAAGCATGCATGGACAGTAGACCTGCCTTGAGGACTCTACATGTGTCATCACAACGTCATCTAACCCTTCTACTGCAGCTTTGTTTGCCCTCCTACTTTCTAGTCTAGCTTTCCTAGTTCTAATCTTTCTTTCTCTTTCAGCAGGTTCTTTAAGTTTCTTCTCTAACCGTAAGCAAATCAACTCCACTTGTTGGAGTTCAATGGCCTCTCTAGTGCGTGGAGGCGGCGAGCTGTACTGCGAGCCCGCCATCTAACTAAAATCGAATCCTACTACAATGGACGAGGACTGCGAGCTGGTCGGCATTCCTAAGGACTACGGACCTGAAGAGGCCGCTGCAGATGTAGCCATTGCTACTGCGCTAGCTGCTGCTGCTGCTAATGCTTGTTCTGCAACTGCTGTTGCCTCCCTAGCAATCTCTAGATGTTGGGTCCTTGCTTCGGCCCTGAACCTTCTCCCGTCACTGGGTAGCAATCCCTGAAACAGTACAGGAATTCTTCGTGTATCCCGCCGTGTTTGTCTACTATCGTTAGTTGTGCCTTCACCACTATCTAATCCGCTCATCAGCTAGGTAGACATTGTTTGCACTAATGCCCTCTGTGGGGCCTACCACAACATGTGTCTGACTGAGTTGGAAAATAAATAAAAATAAACTAATATTCAGCAAGTCTCCTGGGCTACTGTTCAAGCAGTATCAGCAATCATATACACAAAGTGTACACATGATCTAATTCTACTCTGATTAGTTTCACTCACAACAACCTCTATGAGAATTGGCTATGGTAGAATATTGTAGTACTGATCCAGGTTGTTTGTTACGTGTTAGCAGTCTATCCACCAACTAGTCAAAATAAAAATAAATCATGTGAGCAAATGTATGCACAATGGGTATGGTTGTGATCAACAGCTGAGCACCAATTGGTACCTTCCTTCCCCTGTATCCAACGTGCCTGTCCGCATCATCAAGCAACGATGTCTAAGGTGTGCATCAGCGGCCCACCCCTGTGGCCAGGAACTCGCCTATGACCAGCACTGTCATTTCTTTATCCTTGCGTGCAACGAGCCTTACGCCTGACTGATCTGGCTGATCAAGAGGTGTTTTATAGACAACCCCCAAGGTCCTCATGAATTATTTAACATCACAGATAGGACGACGATCACAAACAGTGTTCAAATCAGAACCCCGCCATAAATATTTATAAATGGTCTGGTATGCGTCTACTTGAATGGTGATCGGGGAGTCATAACCGGTGGAAGGGAGACTGACTTTGTGGGCACAAACGTCGATGATGAAGTTGTCGGTAGCTCTGATGTCAAGGAGAGCCCGAAACTTGATTGTAGATGCACCTAGAGAGGCGGCGATGAATTCGAGTTGCAATTTGGAGGACTCAACGTAGGTGGAGGAGATCATGGTGTTGAGGCGGCGTTGTTCGAGGCCTATCTTAATGAGCCGATCGAGTCTTGCTTGTTCCGCAACAACATCGTAGAAGGAGATCGAGGAAGGGTTGGGGAGGAGGGTGGAAGAGCACGAGGCGGTGATGATCTTGACCGGCGGGTTAGAGGATGTCGTCGGGAAGGGGGCAGGCATAGTAGACTGCGACGCCTGCGGGTCTACCTTTGGAATATTCATCACCGGGGTTGTGGTTGGCAGACTAGATGTCGATGCCGAAGGAATCATCGGTGGAATGGTGGGCATCACCGATGATGGGGCCGACAGTCTAGTTGTCGATGTCGGGATGTGGACTCCATGATCAAGGGTACAAAGTTCACGATGAGGAGGGACCGGGTCCCGCGGCGGCCGAAGAAGTGGATGTCGCAGGTTTGTTCACATGCCAAGTGAACTGGCTGGTGTTGGGGCAGTTTGTTTGCTGGTGTCCAAGCTGCCGGCAACGGAAACAACCATTGTTGGCTTGCAGGTAGAGGCGCTCCTCGATTGTGAGTTTCTTGAGACGGGGGGTTGGGTGGAGGAAGATGGTCAAGCCCTGCGGTCCTTGCGGTCCATACCCAAGAACTGGATGGTGTGGAGTTCCCCCGAGTTGAGGGACGCCGGGGCGGAGTAGTCAGAAAGGGTGTCGGGCTCAACGATACGGGCTGTGAATTCGTCGTTGGAGGGGAGACTCTACGGTGGTATCATCCATAGAGATGTTGTGAAAGAAGCGTGGGCGGGAGGTGGTGGACCACGAACGGGGCAGAGAAGGCGATTGTGTTGAAGAGCACGAGTGAGGAGGTCCGTGAGGGACATGGGTGGCGCAGAGGCAAGGGCGGATGTGATGTCCTTGCGGCAGACCCACTTGAAGCGGGAAATGAAGACATTGTCGCTGATCTAGTCGTGGGGAATGTTTTGGCAGAGAGTACGAACATATTGGACGAAGCGGTCGGTGGGGCCGTTTTGGCGAAGCCTGCAAAACTGGTCGACGTAGTTGTCGATTGTCTTTTGCGGGTGGAAGGTGGCGGAGAGGAGGGAGGTTCGCTCGAGAAAGGAGAGGGGAGGAAGACCAGCGGAGTGTTGGTTGGCAGATTCGGTGATCCACCAGCGATGGGCGGTGTCAACAAGTTTGTTGACAGCAATGGAGAGCCAGTGGATAAGGGGGACGTTGTGGAGTTCGAGAGCTTGTTGTAATTTGGTGAGAAAGAGGAGAACGTCATCATGGGATTGTCCAAAGAAGGTGGGAATGTCTTGGAGGTAGAGGGAGGGGGGAAGGTAGCCGGTTTTGGGGACACGACGAGCGAGGGTGTTGAAGTCAGAGGATTTGGGGGCGGACACGATGCGGGTGTAGTCGTCGGTGGGGTTGGAAGGGATAAGGTTGTTGGGGGGAGGCTGGGGGAAGGCGGGGACGAGCGTCGAGGATGACGCGTAGGGGATTTCGGTGACTTGTGCGTATGTGAGTGGTGTCGGGACAGAAACCCCTGTGAGGGTTTCTGCCCGAGTTTTTCAAGGTCAGGCGCTGTCCGACTCTTTTCGCTGGATTTGAGGAACATGATGAGATTGACGTTGCCAAAGTTTATTCAAACCAATCCTATAACTGAGAGACCTAAAGCCTGACGTCGTTAACGTATGACGTCGTTGGCGTGTGACGTCATTGACGTTCCATCGAAATAGCGTGAGTCAGCGGTACGACTTGTCGTCCGCGGTTCCCGACAAGGCCGCAGTGGTGTGCGGTCATGGAAAGAGTAAAGCTAGACCTAGCCTACCTAACATAATGTCGATTCAGGGCCTAAGTAGGCTAAAAACAGGGGTGCGCCGGGTATAGAGCCGCGGCGCAGGGGGGAAGAAGAATTTTAATCTTGGGCCGCGAGGGGTTGACACCGAGCTAGGGGGTTGAAAGGCTGATGTCGAGGCCACGCGGCCAACCAAGCATGTAGGGCTACAAGCAGGCGAGACCTGCAGGGCCGCAGGTAGGCCGGGCCTACAAGGCCATAGGCAGGCAAAACCTGCAAGGTCACGGTATGGGGGAAACCTGACTGGGCGAGCTCTTCATATAGAAGAGCTACTCCTATCACTGTCGTGATAGGAGCTAGCCTAGTAGGTTACCACACCAGACTCTTACTCGGTAGATACCGGGATCAAGCCCGGCTGCAAGCATCCTACCGGGCTAGCTCCTTTTGAAGCAGCCCGCGGCAGTTGGGCACGGCTAATCTCGGCCGCACGATCCTCAAGATCGCTCGGCTGAGATCTGCCGCGCGCAGATCAAAGTGGCCTCTGTGTAAGGATGATATGCGCAAATCAAGAATTTTGTTTTTTTTATTTTTATTTTCTTTGTTTTAAAAATTTTGGGGAAAAAAAAAAAAAACAATCTTGAAAATTTTCGAATCCGAAAGGTTTCGATTTCAGGCGTGGGTCTTAGGGGTTGTGGCTGAAAAGCCACGTGAGATGACATCCGTTGGCCTAGGCCGGCGAAAAAAGGTAAGAAAAATGGAAAAAAAAAAAAAAAAAACCCTAAAGAGATGCGCCATGTGGCGCATGACAATGTGACAAGGACTTGCAGTCCCTGAAGAGAGGAAAAATGGCCGTTTTGAGGGTGTCAGCAGCAGTTCAGGTAAGTTTTTTTCTATTTTGTTTTTTGTTTTGTTTGAGATTTGATTTTGGATTTTTTTTGTTTTTAAATTCTGCTCTCGTCCAGTAGTCGTTTGTTGACGAACAGACTGCTGGGCCGAGGTCCCACAAGCAAAAAGGATGGGATCGAGCTTCTGAATCTGAATGTGTTTTATGCAGAAATGCAGAAAAGCAGTTCAATCTTGATTTCCTGCACATCCCCATAAGTCCGTCCAGGTTCAGGCATTCGATTCCATCCTCTTTGACAGTGGGCCCATGCCCCTGAGGTTTGGCTGCTTTCAGCCACGAGATATGAAGTGACCGTGGATGAAGCGCCAGATGGCGCAGGAGGAACTGGCTGGGGCATTCAACCCCCAACTCTACACAATGGCGCACGTTTTAAACGGGCAACCGTTTCAATGCCAAGGTAAGTTTTATTTTTTTATTTCTTTAGATTTCTTTAAGTTTTGTTAGACATGCTTAGATTTTTTTATTTAGATTCTTTTTAGATTCTTTAGATTTTCTTTTTTTTCTTCTGTTCGTGAAATTACTAAACTGCTCGTTCGTTTTGACGAACGGGCTGGTGTCATAAGTGAGACTTGCGAGTGGATGAATCTACTGTCGGAACATGGGAGGGTGCAGGGTCACATCCCATGAGCAGTGGTTGTGCCACTGTCACAGTGGTTGCGCCCGTTGAAACAGGCTGCAGAGAAAAAAAAAAGGGGACCGCGGGATGTACAACTGGCGCACTCGGCCGGAGCGGCAAAGGGTCGGCGCGGGTTCCCGTGTTGTCCCCGAGTTGTCTCTAAAAAGTTGAAAGCCTAAGTTTCTCCTGCGTGACGCGGCCGGGAGGGCCCTCGCTCACGCGGGGGTCGATGCGCTCGACAGCGGGATGGATGTGATGGTCGAGGTGGACAGGAGGGGAGTGGAGATGTGTTGGTGAGGAGGGAGGGAGGAGGAGTGTGTGATAGCAGGGGTAGAATGTTGGGGGGTGGAAGTGGAAGAAGTAGGGGGTGGGGTGGTGTTGCTGGAGGACAGGGTGGTCGATGATGATGAAGGGGGAGAGGTTGAGGGAGAAGTGGTGATGGAGGTCGAAGTGGAGGAGGTGGTCGGGAAGCGGGTGGAGTTGTGGTAACCACTGTGATGGCCGGAGCTTGTTGCTCGAAGGCGGTCATGCGATCAGAGAGAGCATAGATAGTTGTTTTCATGTCGGTGAGGGATGTTTGGACGGTTGTTTGTACGGTGGAGAGCATGTGGAGGATGGTCGAGAGGTCTGTGACGATGGCGGAGTCGGCTCGTTGTTCGCCTACAAGTTCACGGGCGAGATTGCCGACAAACTGGGTGTGGATGGGGGACATGTTGTTATTGGAAGACTCAACCATGGGGGTGGTGGGAAGGATGCGGCTGTGGCGGCGATGGCAGCAGCTGAAGTGGCAGCAGTGGATGGTGCGGTTGCGGCTTCAGCAGCTTTGCGCGAGGTGTTGGTTTGGTGCTTCATGCCAGGGGGGGCAGGGGAAGGGGGGTTGATGACTTTTATTTACAAAATGAAGAGAAATTTGAAAATTTTATTGAAAAATGAAGGGGAAAAGAGAAGGAATTAATTTTGAATATTGATTTCGTATTTAATTCTAGATTAATTGAATTCATTCAAGAATAATTAATGAAAAAAAAAGAAGATATTTTGCAGGAAATTTGTAAAAGGAAAATGTTGAAATTTTAAAAAATAATGATTTTCAAATAAAGAAATTATTATTCAAATTAATTTCGACTTGGATTAATTGAATTTATTTAAATATAATTAAAAGATGTAAAAATATATTTTGTAAGAAGAACTTCAAAAAGGTCGAAATTTCGAATTAATAATTGATGAATATGAATTATAAAGGGGAGAAATTTAACGAACGATTGAAAATTCAAGAATCAAGAAACTTGATTAATGCCGGATTAGTGTCATTTGTAATTTGAAAGTAAGGAGATTGAGGAGTTTGAGATATCAAAATGTTGCAAATTCCAAAGTAATTAAAGTAATTCGGAGTGAGTTTCAAAGGGCTCAATTTTTTGGGGAATTTTAAGAATTGCGAGGAATGAGCCCTCGCGGGGCCTTCGTCAGCCATGCACGTGATCTGGGTTGAGGCCCCCAGCAAGCTTGTGCCCGCTCTAAGTGAAGGCGGGCCTGAATATCCACTTGAAGCCTACTTTCGACACTTTTCGAGATGTGGGTACTTAGACAGTTGTAGCACGCCAGTTGGTTATTGAGAATCGTGAGCCCTCAGGCTCTTTCCAGAAACATGGGCTGCCTTGTACAGCTGAGCCCAGGGCCCGGGTGGTTGCGCCCCGGGCACACGCAGTGTGAGGCCGACACATCATGCAACGGCCACAGACGAATGACAAGGCAGCATTGTCATCACCCTTGGGCCGTGAGCCAATGAGGAACCAGCGAACACTTGGAGGTTGTGGTGGGTGCCTGAGAGGGCCTACCCACACGAGGCCCGGACCCCTAACTGTAGAGGTGGGCCTGGGCGCTGACACTGGGGCCCCACTGGAAGCTACTGGAAACTTCCTAGCCAGCCCCACGCAGACACACACAGCTGCACTTTCCATAAAGGAAAGAGGCCAGCCCAGAGGGAGGTATTCTGGCCTTGGCAGAGAATGTGGACACGCTGCTGCGTTGCTGCGGTAGCACCTGCACGGGCCTGCTGGTCGGACGCGCGCATGAGTGCAGAGGTGAGGGGCGCTGCAAGGGCAGCGGGCGCACAATAGCCATAGCTAGGCTGCAGAGGCGCAAGGCAGGTGATGGTGAAGGTGGTCTTCGGGTAGGAGCCACATGCTGTGGGGAGACGAGGGGTGATGACGAGAGGAGAGAGAACATACATGGTGTATGCCGATGATCGACATTGATGTCGACTCCACGTACATTGGTCCTCAACTTCAGAGTGATCCAGGTGCAAGAACGTTGTAGGGCCAAACCTCGTTAGACTTCCGAGCCTGTGTCGACCCCACTGCAGGTCCCAGTTGGCTTGGCCCGCCCACGCTCATGCTTAGGGTGCGGGCCATTCGTCACGGGGTCACCCCCACCTAGTGCTTCGAGATGGATGGGGGTGGGCCATCGAGCGGGAGAGCTTTGACATTGGGGATGTAGCTCAACCCTCACGCCAGGTGGTAGTCTCGCTGATCATTTCGCAAGCGCAAGTTTTCTGATTCTTGGTTGTGTTCTCAGGCAACCGGTCCTTTCAATACTCATGCAGTCCAAGGGGGGGTGTTCCTTGATAAATTTTCTTCTTTTGTGCGTAGGCTAAGCATCATCCTTAGGCCACGCACCTTTTCCCTAATGCAATTGTCCTAGGGCATCATCGGGGCGCGACAATGCTGTCTTCCCCCCTTTGCCCCTTACACATTTTCGTGTTCCGCACATTCCGTCCATTGCCATTAGGGCATGCCCCTTAGTCTTTTGGGGGCCTTCATACGCATACAAGGGCTACTTCACGCTTCAATCAAACAAAACCTCATTCAACCCTCAACCCAATACTCAAAACTTCATACACCAAGGCCCCATTCTCAGGGTAGAGGGCCCCATAGCCCCTTTTCTCATCCATTCCTCTTCCCTTTTGCTGGCACATCCCTGGCCCAATCCCGCTCAAGTCATCCCAAGCTACTCACCTGCACAATCAAACACAAGTGCACATGCCAATACGATCCCCCATTCAGGGGTCAACACATAGCCCTTCCCACATGCCTATGCTTTCTTTCTTTGCTCTTGGCTTACTTTCTCATCCCCTTTTTCCATGCACAGTCAATCCATCCTCTTCTCATAGTCATGCAGTCCAGGTTCTAGTTGAGTCAACTGACCTCTCTCTTAGTCAACAATCTTTTCCTCTAGTCTCTTTTGGACTCATTCGATTTTCAATTTCCCAACGTCTTTGCGCTCACCGCTCTCAAATATTCTCTTCCTTTCCCTTCTTGGTGGCACAAGGGACCGACAGTCCTTCCTTTGCCCTCTTTCTCCACCAAGTGAGGTTAACTTCCCTTTCACCGTTTGTCCCATGGCAATGTAACAAGTGAGAGGGGAGAGGTTAGTTGCATGCCAAGTGGGAAAGAAAAAGGTTTAGACTTAGATTATGGGAGAGGTAGAGGAAAGAAGGTCAAAGGACGAAACAGAGGAACGAAAGCGAGAGAGAGAGAGAGAGAGAGAGAGAGAGAGAGAGAGAGAGAGAGAGAGAGAGAAACTCCCTAATCCTAATCAAGCCTTACCCTTACTTGACCCACCGTTCCCCACTCAAGATCTAACCCGGTACATCATTGAGCGAGAGAGAGAGAGACTAAACAACACAAGTATAACTAGCCTACTTACGTACATAGGTTATGGAACCGATACATCTCTAAGTGAAGAAAGAACTGAACGACACAACTTAGACTAGAGCATACGTATGTGTGAAGCTATGGAAGCAACTAGGAAGAACCGACACATCACCAAGTGAAGGAAGAACTTAACTGCACAACTTAGACTAGAGCATACACATGTGTGAAGCTAGGGAAGCAACTAGGAAGAACAAAGCATACACATGTGTGAAGCTAGGGAAGCAACTAGGAAGAACCGACATATCACCAAGTGAAGAAAGAACTGAACTGCACAACTTGGACTAGAGCATGCACGTGTGAAGCTAGGGAAGCAACTAGGAAGAACCGACACATCACCTAAGCGAAGGAAGAATTGAACTGCACAACTTAGACTAGAGCATACACATGTGTGAAGCAAGGGAAGCAATTAGGAAGAACCGACACATCACCAAGTGAAGGAAGAACTGGACTGCACAACTTGGACTAGAGCATGCAAATGTCTGAAGCTATGGAAGCAACTAGGAAGGAACCCCCATATCACCAAGTGAGAGAAAGACTGAACTTGCACCAATGAGACTACAGTACGTTCATACATGAGCCATGGAATAGCTAGGAAGGAATCGGCACATCACCGCATGAGAGAAAGATTGAACTTCCACCAATGAGACTACAACACATATGTACATGAGCTATGGAACAACTAGGGAGAAACCGGTACTTCACCAAGTGAAAGGAAGACTGCACTGGCACCAAAGAGACTTCAACACATACACACATGAACTATGGAATAGCTAGGAAGGAACCGGTACATCACCAACTGAGAGAAGAGTTGAGCTCGCACTAATGGGGCTATAGTACATACATACATGAACTATGGGACAGTTAGGAAGAAGTCGGTACATCACCAAATGAAAGAAAGACTGAACTTGCATCAAAGAGACTACAACACATACATACATGAGCTATGGAGCAACTCGGAAGGAACCGCCACATCACCAAGTGAGAGAAAGGCTGAACTTGCACCAAAGAGACTACAACACGTACATACATGAGCTATGGAGCAACTAGGAAGGAACCGCCACATCACCAAGTGAGAGAAAGACCACACTTGCACCAAAGATACTAGAACACATACATACATGAGCTATGGAGCAACTAGGAAGGAACCGCCACATCACCAAGTGAGAGAAAGACTGAACTTGCACCAAAGAGACCACAACACATACATACATGAGCTATGGAGCAACTAGGAAGGAACCCGTACATCACCAAGTGAGAGAGGAACTGAACTTGCACTAATGGAATACATACATGAGCTGTGGAACGACTAGGAAGAAACTGGTACATCAAAAGAACTGAACTTGCACTAATGGAACTACAGTACATACATACATGACCTATGAAACAACTAGGAAGGAAGCGGTACGTCACCAAGTCAGAGGAAGACTGAACTGGCACCAAAGAGACTACAACACATACACACATGAGCTATGGAGCAGCTAGGAAGGAACCGGTACATCACCAAGTGAGAGAAGAACTGAACTTGCACTGAAGGAACTACGGTACATACATAAATGAGATATGGAACAACTAGGAAGAAACCGGTACATCACCAAATGAGAGAAAGACTGAACTTGCATCAAAGAGGCTATAGCACATACATACATAAGCTATGGAGCAACTAGGAAGAAATCGCCACATCACCAAGTGAGAGAAAGACTAAACTTGCACCAAAGAGACTACAACACATACATACATGAGCTATGGAGCAGCTAGGGAGGAACCGCCACATCACCAAGTGAGAAAAAGACTGAACTTGCACCAAAGGGACTACAACACATACACACATGAGCTATGGTGCAACTAGGAAGGAACCGCCGCATCGCTAAGTGAGAGAAAGACTGAACTTGCACCAAAGAGACGACAACATGTACATACATGAGCTATGGAGCAACTAGGAAGGTACCGCTGTCGGGGCAAATACCCTGACAAGGGTATTTGTAGGGGTTTTTCAACGTCGAGCGTTGTCGGACTCTTTCGTTCGACTGAAGGACCTGATGAGACTGACGATTGCCAAAAGTTTATTAAGACCTGACCTATGACCGAGAAACTAAAAGTTTTCGAGTTTTAGTCCAAACGCTTCTGGTGTCCGGG